TATAATTAAAATTGTCAATTCCAAAACTTTGCAATACTACTGAAGACAAGACTGTATGCAAAACATAAAAATAATGAACTGAAATTCTGTAAAGAATTCAAGACCTGTAAAGACAAAAACAAAAGTTGGACAAATATGTATAGAATTGTTTATAAACTTTTATATAATCTTGTGAAATTAAAAAAAATAAATCAATTCTGAAGATTTTGGTTAACATCTTGTAAGATATTTTCAGCTTTTAAGGATCTTTACTGAAGTGTTATTCAGTATTTCTATAAATTTTTAAGGATATTGCAGTCCTTCATGTTTTACGGGCTCCACCTCACTGATGCTTGAAAGTGTCATAAAACAAGATTTGCGAGGGCTTGTTAAAGCCCCCATCAAGTCCATCATGACACCTTCTGTTTTAGGCTCACAGTTGTTTGTATATAAAGACAAGCTTTGTGTGACCCTGTTGGCTGCTATGACTCCAATACTTTAATTTTAATTGGCCAAGACTACCAATATCATCTATATATTAATACAAGATTTTCAAAATATATTGTCGTAGATAGCCATCAAATATTTGTAACTGAGAAATTAAGTCAATGTCTTAATGTTTAAATTACAAAATTAGATACTAATTATTAGCACATTCAGATTAGCAAGAAGAGTTTTAGGAAATTTGATTGTGGCCCAAAATTACATTTGACGAACTACTTTCGGTAAGATATGAGGCTGCAAGAGTTGCCATATTGATCAAAGGATGTCATAGTTCAGTAACACGCTGCGAACATGTCTTAGTTTATCCAGTAAAACTCTATTTTGTTCAAAGAAAAACAGTATAATTCCATCAATACAAATTAATCGAGATACAGCATCAACCTGCTAATAGCCCCTTTGAACAATTTGGTGAGAGCTGTTCACAGCTCTCGTGCATTTTTCAAAGATGAAGAACTGATACAGGCTAAGGATTTTAAAGGAGTCAGAAAAGACTTCAAAAGAGACATAATATTTAATGGACATCAAATCCAGCCTGCTCATTTAAGTATTTATTGAGGCTTTTCTTAAAATCAGTTAAATTTACTTTATCACCACATCTAAAAGCAACTCATTACAAAGGCCAACCACATTTTAATAAAGGTAAAAGTTTCTAAGGTGAAGATGACCCCTACCCTGTCAAAATGCATATTTGTGTCTCTTTTTTGTCTACCATTCTCACAATTAAATACAAAAAAATGATGCATCAATACTATCAATTCCCATCAAAATTACAATAATCCACAAGCATTATTTTACATTTATTGTAATTAAAAGTCATCTGCCCGTTACTAACCCAACTCATCAAGTGATCTTATTCCTTCTATAAACCAGCAACAGCAACCTCACAGACAGCAACACCCAAAACTTTATATCACAGCAAATCTAAGTAATTTATTGACCATTACTTCATCTATGTCCTTAATATATATAAAAAAGAGCAAAGGTTAATTAAGGTCACATTAATCTAATCCATTTATAACAATCCTCTGCTTTGTTCCCTCCAGCCATTTTTTGATTCAACAAGCCATCTTGTCCCCCATACCTATCATTCACATTCCTTTTATGTGACACCTTAACAACTGCTTTCTTAAAATCTAGAAATACTAAAGCCACACCTTTACCTCATCAACATGAGCAGTAACCTCTTCAAAATATGTCTGAAATTAGTAAAAGACTCTCCCAAATTGAAACCATGTTGACTATTCAACAAAGGCTTTCGCTTTATTAAACGACCTTGCAAAGTATCTTTTATCACATTTCCAGAACCTTTTCCCACTACTGATGTAAGACTAACAGACCTATAATTACTTGGACAGAGATCTTATCACATCCCTTAAAAAAACAAGAATAACATTAACCAACTTTCAGTCTTTTGGAAATTTGCCCACTGCTCAAGAAGTTACAAAAAATATTGGCAATTAGCTCACATATTTGATCCTTAACCTCTTTCAAAACCTTTTGGAAAATTGTAACTGGTCAAAGAGATTTGTCTTAAGTTCTTAAGTTCAGAGTTAATGTGGTCATCTTGTTCATCAATCATGTTTCTCTCTAAAAAATATTCAGTATGAGAAATACTGCCTAAATCTTCATTTGTAAAAATTCAAAAATAGGTAGAATTTAGTAACACAGCCATTATATATAATCATAAGAAATATGCCTTCTTTTATCATCCCTCAAAAACCCTATTCCCATTCTAACATTATGGTTACCCTTAATGTAGTTAAAGGAACTCTTACTGTTAATTTTTACATTTTCTGCCAATCTTTTATTCATTTTTCCATTTTAGATTGTTTGGCATCCTGTTTAACCAACTCTCTTAATCTTCTATAATAAATGGGTGTTTGAAAGTTCCCTACTGCATATTTTTGTAAATGGAAAGGTCTTTTCCAAGACTTCTCTAAACCTTAGGTCATTAAAAGAAAGTTAGGATCAACTTAAACAGTAGAGGCCAGGTTTTTTTGCAGGAACAAAGCCCATTACCTTCTGTTCCTCTTTATTTCTTCCTGCAAACTCAAGACTAATATACAGTATTTTATAGCCAAGCTTTGGAAGGGCATCAGGAGGTAATTTTCTGGTATCCAAGATGACATCACCAAAATTAAGTAGAGCATAATACATATGAACACAATATAGCATACTTTGCCATTCTTGATTATTCAACTCTAAAGAATTTGGGTAAAGATACAAACCACCCAAGACTAGAAAAAGTCACACTTTCCACCCTTCATCCCCACTGAAAACCAGTACTTCCATTTTCTTCCCAAACATTCAGTAACGGAAAATTATAACTTCCAATACAGTACATTACCTCTTCTCACATAAATAACTAGAATTCCACATTTAGCAGGTGGAGGTATTGGTCCGAAAGCATTCGAAGGACACTCCCAAAGAAGAGATCTTCTGAGTCCAATATCATTATACGTGGAACTAGGCACTTCTGAACTAGGGAGTAGCACATCCAATAGGGAGAGAACTATGGTTGGATATGGATCTAAACTCCACAATATATGAATCACAATCCATAATACATAAATGTGGGTGAGAGTAAAAGGATGAGCCTCCATGTGTAGAGTGGCTACGGTGTGATGGACCATACACGACAAGTCAACTACATCCAAAACCCGAGACACTAGGAACCGACATCCACATGGGGTAGGATGAGAATCATATCATTGGTTATTCAACTGCAATCCAAAACTCAGCCACTAGGAAACAACATCTATGTGGATGGTTGGAAAAGGGATCATACCATTTTCACCTCAAGTTCATGGGACCTGAGGGAATCTCGTATCCCCAGATTCATGAATGGGACACATGATAACAATGCGAGAAATTGATTGATCGATCCGGGAACCGAACTCCTGGTATCGAAAATGTCAGTGTAATGTAAAACAATCTCACTCAAAATTAAATTGACAGGAATCACCCCTACTGTATAATAAAGAGTACATTTTTTAAGAGAAATTAATAAAAAGATACGAAGAAAAATTAAAATTAAACACTCGAAGAGAGCACAAACAACACGAGTAGTGCCAAACGAGAAATGGTAGTTTGACGGAATTAAATAGAGGGAATCACACACGTCAAGAGAGTGTGCAGCACTCTTATTAGCAGAGTCACATGTGAGATGCATTGGAATCAGTCAACTCCACATGAGTGGCAGCTTCAAGGCTTGTGGCATGCACAAAAAACTTTTGCATATAGAGGGCAGCACTATTTGTGTGAGAAGAGGTAATGTACTGTATCAGAATCATTTGCTTCATTATTCACTATACTCATAAAGCTCCTGTCAATCATGGTATACGTAAATACTCAAGTTATTTTTAAATATAATTTTATTAAACTTATTTTTGCAATCCCTCTAAGCTTACTGATTTTTTGTGTTACAGATACAGTTTTGAAATTCATTGCACTTGTTTGTGTATGCTTAAAAACAGTATTGTAGATATAACTTTTGGTAAACAGGCTTTGGGTTTCTCCAACTTCACAAGTTTCTGACATGTTGCATCTTCTGCCTCTATCTCAATATTCTGACTAACTGAGTTGCCAGCAATGAGATATTTTCAGTTGTGTTAATGCCTTTTCTTTAAAAAGAGATCTTCAATTCTTTTGGAATAGTTGGTGGCTCCACATAAAAGGTTGTTTATTCACAATCTGTAAGCTAAAATCTACTCATAACTCAATGTTCAATTTTAATTTCAGTAGTTCAGTAAATAAAAGTAAAACTGAAATTAAAATTGAGTGTCATTCAGCTAATTCAAAGAAATCACATTGTTCCTGTGCTTTCTTTTATTCATATATATTACAATAACAAAAACGCTGAGACAGTACACACTGAGAAAGGAGTGTCATGTTTTGCCAACAGTGCCCATTTTATAAGGAAATGACACTTTTGATTTTTAATCACAGCTTGTGTTCAGTTACAAATATTTGCCACCATCATTTTATACAATATGCTGCCAATGTTTTTGCAGGGTAGTTCTACATCTAAAAATATTTTGAAATATGCTTCTTAAGTCCCACAGATAGCATTCCATAACATCCTTGAATGGTTCAATTGAGCTGGCCAGCACATATTTTGGTCATAATTTGTATCAAACCACTGTTGAACATGTCATGCATCACAGCAAGATGCATTTTCCTTCATGTTGATAAAGATATGGCTGTTTCTCCTATAATTCTATCATAAGAAGTGCAGCACTGAACAAACTTACCAGTGGGGGTTAAAGGTTGCCATTACATACAGAACAATCAATTTAAACCAACTATGTGATGGTTTTTCCATTGTTTCCCACCCACATTGGATATCCAAAGCACTGTGAGAGTCAACATTTGCATTCATGGCTCTAATGAAATCTATGAGAGAAATATGGATTAGACTTCAGCCCATCTGTGAATTCACTATGATGGAACTCCCTGTATACAATGGTGCAAAGGCCTGCAAGCTGAGATTTTTATTAAATGCTGAGTGGCTGATTTCATGCCACATGAGAGAATTCATTTCACAATATGTTTAAAACTTGCATTATAATGATAAAAATAAACAAATATTCTACAGAATATAGAGTATGAGACAGTAAACTAAAAACAAAACAGCTCATCAAAATGAAAAACAAAAAAAATCAATGCCAGTATTTGAAATATAAAATTAGTATCCCAAACACTAAAAATGGCACTATAGGTGCATACAAACCAAAACAACCAACAAGGAAAAGTGATTGCAAGTATGATGAACAAAGCTCTTCAAACAGATAACTCTACATGGAATGACACAGGACAAAAAGTGTATGACAAATAAAATAACAGACACAACTCACAAAAATCAATAAATATGCAAAAAAAGAAGATTAAACTAATCTATTATATACAAATTAGTAAATGAAATAGATTATAAAACATGTACAAGACATTAATGCAATGAGAAAAAAATATACGACCATAACAAGTATAGTACTGTGAAAAAGCACTGTCTTACAGGATGTATAAATATTAAAGCTGGACATCTGTCCCTTTGTAGCACTGCATGTAGAAAATGTAAATAAGATAAATACATGGACAATATCATTTTAGTATTTATCAACTATCCTAATAAATAAACTTAGTATTCCGAAAATTGTTTAATCTCGAAGTCTACGTTTAAGGGAGGTCCAGCTCAGTCTACACTTTGATCAACGTGTGTTATTGAGTTATACTAGTTTCGGAGAATTCCACTCCTCATCAGTAACCCTGAACACAATTTAACCAAAAAGAGGTAAGCTATACCTATATAATAGTGCCAGTATATAATGTGAAGAACTGAATAGTGACCAATGACACTTTTCCTTCACTTCAACTATCCAGTGTATAGGTTTTTCTCATAGTGACTACAAAGCACGTTTACACTAACAGTATGTTTGATATCAACTATCCTACCTATAATACTTGTATACTCAAATTTACTAGTAGTTCATACATTTAAGTATATGTATCAGATTTAAACAGAGTATGACTGGAAAAGGTCATTTCCCTTTCTCTCAAAAATAAAAACAAATCCTAAATCCACTGAAATAAAAAACATTATAAGGACAACAAGGGATGATTTGATCTTTCAAAGCAACCTAACATATTCAAACAAATCTTTAAAAAAATAATGATACAAACTATTTCTCTCATCACACATTACATAAAAATTTATCCCACAAGCTAACAACTCCATAAATTTATATTTATGAAAAGATTCCAGAATCCAATTAGCTTAAGTCACCATAGCCACACTGAAAAAATTATATTTTTTAGTCAACAATTACATACTCAAGTTTTTTTATCCCTTTACAAATATATTCTTCTTCTTAACCTTTTGAGACCAGGCATTAAATATTCTCAAGAACTTATTAAAATGGGAAATTTGACAAAATATCAAAAACTTTACCTTTGACTGATTTACCAAGCCCTACAAACCATACATCACTGGATTCAATGTCAACAACTGTTATCAAAATAAGCCTATATGGTCTCTGAGAATAAAAATTTTGGACATACCAAGTGCATCTGTATTGTAACAAGGAATTAAGCTTATCCCGAGAAACTTCAATACTGAAAAAATTTTTCACAGACTTTGATTTTGATTTAAAATATTTCCTTCAGCATCAGCTTCCTTTAACAAATTAATATCAGTAAATTATTTTTATTTAATTCTTATGTACATACATATAAATGTGTGACAAGAAGCTGCCTGTTGGTCCATTTAGGCCATCTCATCCACAATATTAAACTCTAAAATAAAAGTAAAATACTTAATGCCAGCCTTTACCATTCAAATATTTATCAAACCTTCTTTTACAGTCCCTTAAATTAACTACACCTCCCACATCTGAAGGTAATTCATTCTAAAGGCAACCATCCTGTTAGAAAAATAAAACCATCTTAGCTGAAGTTTATTGTCATTGAAAATTTATGAGAAAAAAAAAAGAGGAAAATCAAGATGACAGAAAGCATAAAAACCATATCCAATGCATCTTACATTAGTGACAGTCCATGTAGATAGGTAATGTAAAAAGAAACAGGTACACAATATTTTTGTAACATGTGGTAGCCAACTAACCCATCCATGTTACCCCCCACTATCCAAAATAAGCAAACAAAAACATAAAAACCAAAATTTATATTTAGTTTGGCCATTCACAACCATACTTGCATTCAAAAAAGTTTAATATAAAATTAAAATTTCAATTCTGAAAATGATAAACTAAATAATTAATAGGTGTGGTATTCAAATTCATTAGTAATAGTAGTACTAGTAGTAATAATAATAGTATACTACCAGTACCATAAATACAATAACCTATGTATCATTCTTTTGATCACAAAGCTGAAAATTTAAGACGTTGAATCTCAACTTTCAAGCAAATGCAGGTTAAGTTAAACAAGCAAAACCTGTTTGACGTGTCTTGATCATGGTACGTTTCCACTATAGTTTACACCACCGGTCGGGCCTAACTAACTTTATTATTCGTAATTAGTATTGAAATTTTAACATTTTAATTTACTACAACTAAAGCATTATTGTAATTATTATAATCCTTACTTAAACCTACCTTAATCACAATAGTTTTTGATAATTTTAACGAAGGAGCTACCAATAGCGCTAACAATAACACTAACAATTAGTTTTAAATTACATCTACTACTGTGTCCTTCAGTATTCATTCAGTTAGACAACTGTTAGTAGTACTAGTAGTAAAACTTCACTAAAAACCTACGTCACTCGTACCTGTTCCACAAGTTAAGAAGGTTAATCTACCTTTACCAATACAACTTACATTCCTACCTGAATGTAGCTTCAACGTCATCATCTCGAGGTCAACAAACTATTCGAAACACAGTGATGGGAAATACGAGACAAACCTGCATCTATGGATCGAATGACCAACAAACAACCCTTTAAGAATAACACATAACTGGAAGAAAACTTTCCTCAGCGTTGTGAAATATATAGTGTTGTGGGTTACATTTTTATTATGTTAATATTTTTATCAGGAGTTTGTTGGTGGAGTCTAGAGATTTCATGAAGGATTACGCCTTTGCAGTGCCCCCAGTATCTCAGCGGTAAGTCTCAGAGCTTACAGCGCAAAAATTCGGGTTTCGATATCTACGGTGGGCAGAGCACAGATAGGCCATTGTGTAGCATTATGTTTTATAATAAATAAACAAAAAACAAAACTTTTGCAGTATCTCTAACCACCATGTTACAGGTAGAAAACTAATACACCATAAAACTTCCAGACTTAGTGAATTAATAAGTTCAAAGTCTGTTAATTAGTAAGTCAGACAGTGATGTGATTCCTTTCGTTTGTGATAAACTATACAGTGATTCAGTCACAAGTACTTAATATATTAACGGTTGGGCCGAACAGGAAATTTATAAGCAATTTGAATTTGAAAATTCAACTGGGTTTTAAGTTTGTTAGAATTTGAAAACTGGCCACTTTGATGGAATGTGAAATAAATCTTTATTAAAAATGGAGTATATCAGTATTGTTACGACAGTGGTAGTCACGTGACTCTGGTAACACGTCATGATATTCTAGAAGGATCGGGGAACATCACGAATAATCCAGTATGTGCCAGGCGCCCTCTATTCCTGTATATAAGTGCGCCGGACAACGTGAAACAAATTAATCGGAATTGAATTGCAGAC